GAGGATATATCAAGGAAGGCGACTATACAAGCAAAATGTAAGACAGAAAGGGAACATGGAAGTAAAGAAAGAAGAGAATGGCATCCAAAAGAAGGAAGATATAGGACCTGATCAGCAGGCACTGACCTTATGTTTAGAGCAGAGTTGATTCCGAACAGCCTTTCTCTCGGCTGGAGCACCGCGCCCGGGCACTGACATGACATAATTAGCGCTGATATACCATAATTGGCGCTGATAGCTACAACTTTGATGGTCTCCGACGCGTCCCAGGAAGGAAAGGGGGAATTGCCAGCCGGGGTGAAGAAGAGCGAAAATACGAAAGGAAGTGAAGATGGCTTAAAGATTATGGTAGAGCAATAAATGAAAAGGACAGCGAACAGGAGACGCAATAATAGAAAAGAATAGGAATACTATAAAGGAAAGAGTAGGAAAGAGAAGAGAAATGCAAGCCGATGAAAAGCAGAGAAATGACGGAAGGAAGAAAGGAAGGACAGCCTACGCAAGCAAATAGCAGGCGATAAAGAAAAGGAGACAAGAGAATTAACAGGAGCACAGAGGAAGAGACGGCAGAGGAGATAGCAATGATGGTGTGGCGGCGCGGGTGCTGTCGCTGTCGCGTGTGCGGCGGCGGAGCAGCGCACGGTGTCGCTGCAGGCTCAGGAACGGCTCCGTGTGGGCGGCTCCGCCCCGGTGCGGCGGAGAGCCCGGCTGTGAGCGCGGGGGGGCGGCGCGGGCCGGGCAGCAGAGCCGGTGCGTGCGGGCGGCGGCGGGGAGCCGTGCGGGGCCCGGGCCGGGGCCGGCAGCCACAGCGGCGGCGGCGGCGGCGGCGGCAGGGAGGATGGGCGAGCGCTGCTGTGCGGCGGTGCTGCGGGTGCTGGTGCTGCTGCAGGCGGCCTGGGCGCTGGCGGGCGGGCAGGTGCGCTACTCGGTGCCGGAGGAAGCCAAGGCCGGCACGGTGGTGGGCCGTCTGGCGCAGGACCTGGGCCTGGAGGCGGGCGAGGCGGAGGCGCGGCGGCTGCGGCTGGTGGCGCAGGGCCGGCGGGCGAGCGTGGAGGTGAGCGGGGCGAGCGGCGCGCTGCTGGTGAGCTCGCGGCTCGACCGGGAGGAGCTGTGCGGCAAGAGCGCGCCGTGCGCGCTGCGCCTGGAGGTGCTGCTGGAGCGGCCGCTGCGCGTCTTCCATGTGCAGCTGGAGGTCACCGACATCAACGACAATGCCCCCGTGTTCCCCGCCGCCCGCAGAAACCTCAGCATCGCGGAACTGACCACCCCGCCAGGGTCTCGTTTCCCGCTGGAGGGCGCGTCGGATGCGGATATCGGAGCGAATGCGCAGCTCTCCTACACACTCAGCCCCAGCGAGCATTTTAGAATAGAGGAAGAAAACAGTAACTCTCGCAGTAAGTCCCTGTTTCTGGTGCTCACGAAATCTCTGGACCGCGAGACGATTCCCGTGCACCGGCTGGTGCTGACAGCGAGTGACGGGGGCCGGCCGTCTCTGACGGGCACCATGGAGGTGGTGGTCTCGGTTGTAGATGTGAACGATAATCCGCCCCAGTTCAACCAGTCCGTGTATAACGTAGTTTTGTCCGAAAACGCATTAGAGGGGACGCTTATAGCGCGGGTGAATGCCACAGATTCCGACACGGGAATATATGGTGAAATTATATATGAAATCGATACTGTTGTTCCACCCTCAGCAGGAACTTTATTCAGAATCCATGCAAATAGTGGAGAGATCAGACTGTCAGGCGCCCTAGACTTCGAGGAAGTTACTTTATACGAACTACAAATTCAAGGGACAGACAAAGGTACACCCGCCCGGCCCCACGACGCTCGTGTGCGCCAGCGAAGTGGGCAGCTGGTCGTACTCGCAGCGCCACAGCCGCAGCCTGTGCGTGGCGGACGGCGCCGCCAAGAGCGACCTCATGGTTTTCAGCCCCAACTTCCCTCCGCCGCCGCCGCCCGGCCCCGCGCCCAAGGACACGCAGCCGGAGCCCTCCGCCCTCCTCGAGACGGTCAGTGGTACTGCTTTTTTCTCCTTTGTCTATTCATCGCCTTTTCCCCCTCCCTGCCCGGTCCCTTTCCTCCGCGGTTCAGCTGGTGTTTTGAGCCAAGCTCCGCCCCCGGGGCAATCGATGCTTGTCGAGTGCTTCCGGATATGAGTTCTACCTCTGCATCTGCCGCCGGAGCGACCCGGTTCTTCCTCATGTACTGAGGTGGTGAGGGTGGTGGAGTGGAAATAAATGCATTAGCGCACTATGCAGCATGTATTGTCCATAGGTGTTGGGTTCTGTGCTGGGTGTGAGTTCTCTCGTGGAATTAAATCATGGTCTCTTGCTGTAAGAGGTGTCCCGAGGTGTCAGCTTTGCAGAATACCCGCATTCTCTGTGGTGGGTAAAATTTTCTACATGCAGGCTGTGGTGTTCACATTTCCCAAGAATTGGTGGACAGTCCTGTGTTTAGTTTTTTTTCTAACGAAAATTGTCTTCCTCTTTTCTGATTCTGCTCCCTAACTATGTTAATGCAAGGTGAAAATTGGGACTATCGTTTTCTCAGTCAACGGAAGGTTAAACTGAAATTTCATTCTAACACTAGAGACATTATGAAATGGGAAGATGTGGTGAGCCTTTCCTATCATCTGCTCCCAGGGATCTTGTTACTCTGCTTAAAAATATTATCTTCTGAGTGAAGAGTTTTCTCCAAGGGTAAGAGTTAGAAAGTGGAATTTTCTTTTCCTTGGTCCCCTGTTCCTGACTTCCGAACACACTTTCCTGGCCAGAGAACTAGTAGGAAATACCATGTAGTCCTTTGGTGTTGTATGAAAATTCCTACCAACAGCAGCACCACTTCAAAAACCATAGAAATAACCTTTTATGAAAAGAAAGCAAACAATCCAGAGAATAATCCCTATCAACAATACCCAAACCAATTTCTCCAACACAGTCAGTATAATCCATTATGATGTTTTGCTTGTCAGCGTTTTCGTTCTTATCTCAGTGTATGTAATGAGGTGGTGAGGGTCATCTTTGTGCACTGGACTTATCCTTTTTGTGCACTTGAACCTGGTAGAGATGATGTATCCTGTTGTCACACATGGCTCTGCAAACCCTGCAGAGCATCCCAGGTCAAGATTTTTGCAGTACAAATTCTCTGTGTTGAACTTGTTTGAGCGCTTGCGCTATTTGGTATGGTTCTCTTGAAGAACAAAATCTGCATATGCTGGTTCCAATTATGTTCTGATCACAGGATCTCTAAGAATTCTGATGTGCAGCTCTGTGCTATTTCCATGTGAGATTGCTAAAAAGAAGCAATGCGTTCATGATAAATTTCACGCAGGTGGGAAGAGCCTGCTGAAGGCTGTGTAGTTTTGAAGAGTTTCACATGTTCTTTGTGCTGATCATGAGGGAAGGTGCAGAGGTGCCAAGGCCTAGATCCTATGCAGAGTGTGAATTACAGATGGGACATATTGCTGGAGTTGAGAAATGTTTGATATTTTGGCAGTGATTCCTCGAATGGCATCAAGTAGCGCCTGGACCTGTACAGTGGGGAGGGGGAGTTTGAGTGGGGAAGAGTGTTGCCTCAGGGGAACGGAGATGCTGAGTAAACACGGTCTGTGTCATTGTGGATGAAGTGGAGAATGTTTGCTTAGGTGTAGAGGTCTCATTTCTAATGGACAGCATAGAGGATGCCAGTGGAAAACATTGAGAAAAAGCCCAGCACACAGAGCTGCTCTTCTGGGATCTTCTCAGGAACTCCAGCAGGTCTGCACATCCTTGAGACCTGTTGTTTTATGTGATGTTACTGCTTGTAAAAGTGCCTGCAATACAGGCCTTTAATTGCTTGTCTTTGTTGTGGAAAGTCCAATGACATGGCATTTCGGGTACAGCAGGACACATTCCTTTGCTTTCTTCTCGTGTCTGAGATAGAGCACTCACGCTTTTTTCTACTCTCACATTGGCAACGTGTAACAGTGGATGACATGCAGATGGTGAAATACTGGCAGCGGTCAGGTGGCAGATGTTTAGACAGTAATCCATTGGTCTTGGGCAAAATTTTTCCACTCTTTCAAGCTGAGGCTGCTGTTGAGAGAATATCACTAACTTTCAGGTGTCCCTCCTGCTTCCCCGATGATAGAAGTGCAAAAGGAAGTACTACTCATTGTCCCTGTATTTCAAAGCTCTTGGTGAATGTGAGTATTGTTTTTTCTGTCCAGTATGCTGCAAAATTACAAAATTAGGAGATAATGTCCCTTAAAACCAGTTCTCCTGTTCTGAAAATGTTTCTTTTTCCGGAAGACAACACCAGCGATGCTACAGGTAAGTTGCCTGTACCTGAAGAGGCTGTGTGTGAAAGACAAGTGTACTTTGGTTCCTGTTCAGCTGTGGTATCTTCATGTTGGATAAACTGGAATATTGTCTATCCAGACTGAATATTGCCTGGATTGAAATGCCTGTAGGTTTGGAGCACGACTGCCTGCTCTCATTCCTTTCCTGTTGCTGCCTGGCACAGAGTGAGCACGTGGAAGCTAGGACAGATGGAGAAATTACCTTACTGCCTTTCTTGGATTAGATGTCTTTGGAATGCAGCAGATTTTCTCAGTGACAATGCCATGATGTTCACCTGGTGGCTTTTTGTTGGCTGTGCAGGAACATGAGTCATGAAGAATAACCCTTGATTATATTGGAAGAATACATGAGGTATAAGAGAAGTGCTCGGGTGCTATGGTTGCTAAGAGTTTTTGCAGCATTCTTGGATGCTTGGTGTGCTGGCCTGTGATGGCTTTGAGAGTGAGAAACTCCCTTGAGTTGCTTGTAATATTTGGTGCACCTTTTAATTACACATCCCTGTAGCTGGGGTTGGTGATTCTGTTCCAGATGGTACAGCAGTGATGGGGAAAAAAACAAAAGGAAATTGAGGAATTGATACAAAGAGGAATGATAGCCCTTTCAAAGAGACATTTACATCCTTTATCGCAAAGAAGCTGTAGACATTTGAAAGTCTTTTCATACAGGTGGAAAATAGGAATAGAGAGATAAGGATGGGAATGGAACAGGAAGTGAAGAAAAAAGAGCAGATATAGGGAAAGAGAAGATATAGGGAAGGAGAACTACAAAAGGTAAAAGAAAAGTGAAGAGGTAAAGAAAACAGCATAAGGAGATGAAGATGAAAATTAAAAAGAAAGGAAGGAATCCATGCAACTCCGAACCAACTAAGTAAGCAAGCAAGAAAGGACAGAAGACACTATAAAGGACCAGCAGTCACCGAGTTTGTCTCTAGACACTGAACGGAGCTAATCCCTAACAGCCTCACCCCTGGTGAGAGCAGCGCTTCCAGAAGCTGATGCTCCGTAATTACCGCTGATCACTCCGGCTTTGATGGTCCCAAAAGGGGCGCTGAAAGCGACTGAATACGTGCCAGCGATGGTGAAGACGAGAGAAAGACGAATGGACAGGGAAGAAAGAAGACAGAAAAGAATAAAAGAGCAGAAAGAAGAAAAGAGGCAGAAAAGAGAAGAGAAAATAAGAACTATTCAATACAGAAAATTGAAGGGAAAAGAAATATATGGAAAGAAATTAAGACGAGAAAGAAGAAAAAAAACAAATATTTACAAGGAAACAGTAGGCGATTAGAAAAAAAAAAAGAAAAAGAAAGAGGAGCAGCATACGACGAAACATCAGAGGAGATGCCATCTGCGGAGCGGCAGCGATGTCGCTGTCGCGTGTGCGGCGGCAAAGTCTTTAGACCGCGAGACGATTCCCGTGCATCGATTGGTGCTGACAGCGAGTGACGGGGGCCGGCCGTCTCTGACGGGCACCATGGAGCTGGTGATCTCGGTGCTGGATGCGAACGACAACGCGCCCCAGTTCAACCAGTCGGTGTATAATGTACAATTGTCTGAGGACGCTGTACAAGGCACGCTCGTGGCGCAGATGAACGCCACGGACCTGGACGAAGGAAGTAACAGAGATGTGAAATATGAAATCGATACTGTTGTTCCCCCCCCTGCCTCAGATTTATTCAGCATTGATGCGAACACTGGGGAGATCAGACTGACGGGCGCCCTGGATTTCGAGGTAGTTAATTTATACGACCTAAATGTCAAGGCAACAGATAAAGGGACGCCCTCTTTGTCACAAGGACACGCAGCCGGAGCCCTCCGCTCTCCTCGACACGGTCAGTGGCACTGCCTTGTTCGCCTTTCGCTCTTTTCTCCTCCGCCTCTTTTTTCTCTCGCCCCCAGCCTGGGTAATTCTCGCTTTTAGCGAGGCTCCCGCCCCTCCGCAGCCTGAGGGCAGTGAGTGTTTAAGGATCTTAAAGGGACATTCTCATCCTCAGCCTTCTCCTCCCCTAATTTCGCAATATCTTGGTGTGTGGAAGGAGAAAAATGTATTATGGCACCACAGAACAGTTACCATCTGCAGCTGAGTCTTACTGTGCTGGGCAGGAGTTTTACCCAGGAATGAAATCTCTGCCTATTGCAGTGAGAGGTGCCCAGAGGTGCAATCTTTACAGGCTACTTTCTCACTTTTTTGCGTGGCCGGTTTCAATATCAGCTTGGTGCAGGAATACAACAAGACAAGCTGGGGTGGTGACAGACCCCCATGCACTTTGTATTGACTTATGCCTTTGTTGGCTTCTGACCATGTTGCTATTAGGTCTGGGTTATTATTGAAAACTGTCCTCTTTTATTTTACTTGCCTGCTAGGTAACACAAAGATACACTTGTGACTTCATCTATTTGACTCCTTGTGGAAACAACAATTCTGCACTTACGTTCCATCATCAGGCTCATTAAGAAAGTAGGAAAGGCAGTATGGACTTTACTATCAACTTTGTCCTTGTATTTTTTTTCCTTTCTGTAACAGAAGGAAACTGTAGCATGTTTACTAAAGTGACTGTGGTAGTGGCAGAGTTAGGCCCAGATTTGTTTTGATGTGATTGTGAGCAGAAGAGCTGCCTGAGAAAGGTGGGATTCATTGAGAAGGCCATGGGCCATGTCTTAAGACAAGAATGAGTCATGATGTGGTTGAGAACTCATGTCTCAGAGTGATGAACGAAGGATACCTAGAGAAAACTGTGAGGCAGGATGGGCACAGAGTGCTTCTGCCTGGCATCCTTTGCAAGACTCTAAGGTTCTGGAGCTGGAGGTGTTGTGGACCTTGAGATGCTGTGTGGTATTGAAATAGCCACAAAGTCCTTTGAGGTGATGAAGTTCTCCCAAAACAGAAAGAGATTTGTGCTGATACATCATTTCTGTATAGAATGTGCTAGTAAGAGGAAATGCAATGCTGAAAATTGTTTGATGAACTACATCCCTTTTATTTTGAGGAAGGCATTGTGGGAGGGTAGGACTTCAGCTTGCTGGGGCCCTTGTGTAGGGGTGCATGTCTATAGCAGCTTCCTCAGCTGCTGATTTTGCCATGGTGGTTCCTTGCTGCTTGTCAAGTGGGATTTGCAAGAGGATGTGATGAGGAAGAGAGTATAATCTGTGTGTGCCTCATCTCTCCTGCTTGAGCACTTGCAGGGTCAGTCTCAGTAGAAATGGGGTGTTGCCTCGTCGTGCTTAACCCTGATACCTGCATGGCCACACAACACCCTGCACAGCAGCCCAGCGCTGATGTTATCATAGAAATTCTCCCACAGTTTTACTGTGCTTGTGCATCAGCATTTGGTGTTGTTCTCTCAAAATAAAATGAATCTGGGTCAGGATCAAAGCTGTCACTCTGATCACAGAATTTTAAACATCTCTAATGTGTAGCTCTGTGGTGTTTCCATCTGAGATTGCTGAAAAAGTGTTTCACATTTAGGGTGAATTTCACATAGTCTGCCAGAAATGCTGTGGCTTTGCATCCCTTAATAAGTTCTTTGTGCAAATTTTGAGGGAAGGTGGGGATGTGCAAAGGCCTGGATCATGCTCAGAGTGGATTTTACTGCTGGGGCAAGCTGGTTTGGTGGGGCAGTTTGGCTGCTGCAGCTGTTATCCTCTAAGTGGCATGGAGTACTGCTTGGGCCCTCTGTCATGGGGAGGGTGACTTTGAGTGGAGAAATTTCTTTACTGAGGAAACGGAGATGCTGTGTAGCATAAGCACTATCACTGGGGGAGAAAAGCTCCAGCTGCTTGGCTGGAGATCCATTTCCCAGAGCTTGGGATAGAGGATTCCACTGGAAAACTTTGTGAAGACACCTGTCACCCTGGTTTGCTTGACTGGGATCCTCTCAGGTCCTTCTGAAGTCCTGTGTGTATCCTTGGTATTCTCCATGCTCTTCTGGCCATACACATCTTCCATACAAAACTTGGATCACTTGCTTTTGAAAATATGGTGTTGGTGAAACGGCAACTTTCCCAAATATCAGTCTTGCTTGGCCAGCCTTCTCTGAAGCTCTCCTTGTTTACATCTCTGCTCATGTCTTGATACGGAGTGGGAAAACTTCTGTCCATAACCAAGAAGGTGTCCAACCTGGCATTTTGATATAGATGGAATAGGACCTTCTAGTTTTCTTCTCTCCTTTTACCAAAACATACCATCTTTTTTATTTTTTTCTTCTTTTGCATTCACCATGTGTTGGTAATAGTGCATGAAACACAGACTGCTGAATTTTGGTGGCTGTCAGGTAGCAGAGTTTCCAGCGGCTAACTATCAGTATGAGGGATGGATTTTCCAGTCTTCTAAGCTGAGGTTGATGTTGGGAGAATGTCCTGAGATTTGCAGAGTCTCTCCTACTTTGCATGTGATAGAAGTGCATGAAGGAGCATTCTGCTCTGTTCAGTGATTTAGAAGCTTTTGCAGAATGTGGGTCATTTTTTCCTATTCATCTCCCCCAGAAATCTCTGAAAACATGAAAAGAAAATATCCTTCAGAACCAATTCCCTCCCCTGAAAGTAAATATTTTCTGAAGAAGGAGCTAGAGTTGCTTCAGGTAAGTTCCTGCTACCTAAAGAAGATGAGTCTGAAATACAGTTGTACCTTTATACATCTTTAGTCACGGTATCTTCATTTTTGATTTACCAAATGTGCCTGGATTTGGAGTTGGACTTGATGATCCTTATAGGTGCCTTCAAGTTTGAAATATTCTGTGATTCCTTCACTGGATCAGCAGAGCACCACTGCCTCCTCTCATTCCTATCTTCTTTCTCCAGACTTGGCATGAGCAAATAACAGCAAGCACGGATGAAGGAGGGACCCTAACACATTTCTCAGAGTGGATGTGTTGGGAGTCGAGGGTGTGTTCTCAGAGAAATTGACACAGATAAAACGATTCTGTTGCCTTTACCCTGTGGATCAGGCTACACAGAGACATTCCACTGGGAATATGCTGCTGGGGATGAACGTTCTTGCTGTGTGTTTCTGATTGTGCTGGCCTGCCTGAAATATGAAGCCAGAAATTTACATTCAGCATGCAGGCGGCAAATGAGGCCTGAAGAACAATTCTTCATTGGAGTGTATGGAGTGTTTGGAAGCTGTGGTGGCTCCATATTTTTTTCCAGCATGTAGGAAGGATTGGTGTGCTGGGCCTTGATGGCTTTGAGTTCCTGAAGAAGATTCGCTGGGTTGTTTGTGCTTAGTCAAGTCTGTTTACACTAATGTCAAACAAAGTACCTAGGGATTGGGCCTGTGTTTCAGAGGCTGTGAATTCTCTCCCTTAAGAGGATAGAGCCTGAAGGGTGTGGTTTCCTTCCAGAAGGTGAGGTGAAAGAGCACTCTCTCAGTGTGGCAGAGATTTGAAGTGAGCAGGAGGCTTGTTTCTTGAGTGGAGAGATGAAAGATGACATCAGAGAGGAATGAGAACTGTCACCAATGACATTTTTGTGCTTCATGGGAGGGTGAAGTAACGGAAAAATAAATTGGTAATGGAGATAAAGAAGAGGAGTATGTGTGTGCATAAGGACAGTGAAGAGGAAGGAAGGAAGGAAGGAAGGAAGGAAGGAAGGAAGGACGAATTTATTGGTATGTCACTGTACTCTCACTGTACACAGAAAAGGAGGAGAGCGAGAAAGGAGGACATAAAAGGAGTGAGAAAAGAGAAAGACAGAAGATGCTATGAATGAATTATACAAGAAGGTAATTAAGAATGGGAGATGAGAAAGAGAGAAAGAAAACAACAGCAAAGGAGATGAGCAGCTCTCAAGGACCTTACCTCTAATATCTGGACGAAGCTGGTTGTCAAGAGCCCCTGCCTCGATTACAATACCCGCGGTCCGACGCTAATCCCGCGTAAGTCGAGTTCGTGGATCCGGCTTGTTATTCCTGCTGTCTGCCTCCGGAAGGTTCTTGCGACTAATCAGAAGGCGTAAAGAAGAGGGAACAGGAAAAAAAAAACAAAACCCCCAAATAATAAAATGAAAGACGAGCAGGGTTGGAAGAGAAAAAGCAGAGGAGACAGCCATGACGGAGCGGAGGCAGAGGCGCTGTCGCTGTCGCGTGTGCGGCGGCGGAGCAGCGCACGGTGTCGCTGCAGGCTCAGGAACGGCTCCGTGTGGGCGGCTCCGCCCCGGTGCGGCGGAGAGCCCGGCTGTGAGCGCGGGGGGGCGGCGCGGGCCGGGCAGCAGAGCCGGTGCGTGCGGGCGGCGGCGGGGAGCCGTGCGGGGCCCGGGCCGGGGCCGGCAGCCACAGCGGCGGCGGCGGCGGCGGCGGCGGCAGGGAGGATGGGCGAGCGCTGCTGTGCGGCGGTGCTGCGGGTGCTGGTGCTGCTGCAGGCGGCCTGGGCGCTGGCGGGCGGGCAGGTGCGCTACTCGGTGCCGGAGGAAGCCAAGGCCGGCACGGTGGTGGGCCGTCTGGCGCAGGACCTGGGCCTGGAGGCGGGCGAGGCGGAGGCGCGGCGGCTGCGGCTGGTGGCGCAGGGCCGGCGGGCGAGCGTGGAGGTGAGCGGGGCGAGCGGCGCGCTGCTGGTGAGCTCGCGGCTCGACCGGGAGGAGCTGTGCGGCAAGAGCGCGCCGTGCGCGCTGCGCCTGGAGGTGCTGCTGGAGCGGCCGCTGCGCGTCTTCCATGTGCAGCTGGAGGTCACCGACATCAACGACAATGCCCCCGTGTTCCCCGCCGCCCGCAGAAACCTCAGCATCGCGGAATTCAACACTCTGCCGGGTTCTCGTTTCCCGCTGGAGGGCGCGTCGGATGCGGATATCGGAGCGAATGCGCAGCTCTCCTACACACTCAGCCCCAGCGAATATTTTACACTTGATGTTAAATCGTCTGATGAAAACAGGAAGTCTCTGTTTCTGGTACTCACAAAGTCTTTAGACCGCGAGACGATTCCCGTGCACCGGTTGGTGCTGACGGCGAGTGACGGAGGCCGGCCGTCTCTGACGGGCACCATGGAGCTGGTGATCTCGGTGCTGGATGCGAACGACAACGCGCCCCAGTTCAACCAGTCGGTGTATGAAGTGCAGGTACCGGAGAACGCTACAGAGGGGACGCTCGTAGCACGTGTGAATGCCACGGATCCTGACGCAGGAAGCAATAAGCAGTTTTCTTACAGCATCTTGAGTTCGACTCCTATCGGTAATAAAGAACTCTTTACCATTGACACCAAGACGGGCGACATCAGACTGAAGGGTACTTTGGACTTCGAAGGCGTTAGTTTACATGAATTGCAAATCGAAGCCACAGATAAAGGGACGCCTCCGCTGTCGGGACACTGCAGCGTGGAACTGAAGGTGCTGGACGTGAACGACAACGCGCCGGAGGTGTGGGTGACGTCGCTGTCGGTGCCGGTGCCCGAGGACGCGTCGGTGGGGACGGTGGTGGCCCTGCTGAGCGTGTCGGACCGGGACTCGGGGGAGAACGGGCGCGTGCGGTGCTGGGTGTGGCCGGCGTCGCCGTTCGGTCTGGAGGCGACGTTCGCGGGCTCGTACTCGCTGGTGCTGCGCGAGGCGCTGGACCGGGAGCGGGTGTCGGAGTACGAGGTGGAGGTGCGTGCGGAGGACGGCGGGGCGCCGGCGCTGCGCGCCAGCCGCGGGCTGCGGGTGCCGGTGTCGGACGTGAACGACAACGCGCCCGCGTTCGCGCAGGCCGTGTACACGGTGCTGGCGCGGGAGAACAACGCGGCGGGCGCGGAGCTGGCGCGGCTGTGGGCGCGGGACCCGGACGAGGCGGGCAACGGGCGCGTCAGCTACTCGGTGTGGGAGGGCGGCGCGGCGGCGGGGTCGTCGTCGTCGTCGGGCGGCGGGTGGCGGCCGGCGTCGAGCTACGTGTCGGTGGACGCGGAGAGCGGGCGTCTGTGGGCGCTGCAGCCCTTGGACTACGAGGAGCTGCAGGTGCTGCAGTTCGAGGTGCGCGCGGTGGACGCGGGGCAGCCGCCGCTGAGCGGCAACGCCACGGTGCAGCTCTTCGTGCTGGACGAGAACGACAACGCGCCGGCGCTGCTGCCGCCCGCGGGCTCGGCCCCGGAGGCGGGCGCCGTGGAGGCCGAGGAGGCGGCGGCGGCGGCGGCGGCGGCTGTGGGGGCGGGCTCGGCGTCGGGCACGCTGTGGGCGTGGGCGGCGTGGGGGGCGCCGGCGGGGCAGGTGGTGGCCAAGATCCGCGCCGTGGACGCCGACTCGGGCTACAACGCGTGGCTGCGCTACGAGCTGTGGGAGCCGCGGGGCAAGGGCCCGTTCCGCGTGGGGCTCTACAGCGGCGAGGTGAGCACGGCGCGGGCGCTGGACGAGGCGGACGGGCCTCGCCACAGGCTGCTGATCGTCGTGCGCGACCACGGCGAGCCGGCGCGCTCGGCCACGGCCACGCTCAGCGTGTCGCTGCTCGAGGCGGCCGAGGCGGCGCTGGCCGCGGGATCCTCGTCGTCGTCGTCGTCGTCGCTGTCGCGCTCGGCCGTGGGCGTGGAGCTGGGGCCCGGGGCGGCGAGCGCGGCCACCAACGTGTGGCTGGTGGTGGCCATCTGCGCCGTGTCCAGCCTGTTCCTGCTGGCCGTGGTGCTGTACGGGGCGTCGCGCTGGGCGCCGCGGGCGGCCGTGCTCTCGGGGCCCGGCCCCACGACGCTCGTGTGCGCCAGCGAAGTGGGCAGCTGGTCGTACTCGCAGCGCCACAGCCGCAGCCTGTGCGTGGCGGACGGCGCCGCCAAGAGCGACCTCATGGTTTTCAGCCCCAACTTCCCTCCGCCGCCGCCGCCCGGCCCCGCGCCCAAGGACACGCAGCCGGAGCCCTCCGCCCTCCTCGACACGGTCAGTGGTCCTTCCTTTCTTGCTCTGTCTCCTCTCACCCCCCTCCTGGACAGTTTTTGCCTGGAGCCGAGCCGCGCACTCGCGGCGCGTGGGCGGTCCGTGTTTCGTGGTCGTTTATCCTCTGAGTGCTGGTTGTATTATCCCTCATCTTCAGTGGCTGTAGTGTTTTGCATCCCAGCCGATTTTGTGTGCCGCTGTGATCGTCTCTCTTCATTTTTCCCTGTTAAGGAAAGGAGCTCTACAAAATATTTAAATCTTGCTGCCCTCGGTGCAAAGTTGAATGAAATACCTTTTTTGTCTTGCAGCGTCTCAAGAGTCTGGCCTTTTTGATGGCACTGAGAGTGAAATTCCTATATATGTCACTATCTTCTCTGTTTTTTAATTTTAGTACCTTCAGTGGCTGTTGCAGAATCAGTCGCAATCTGTCTTGAAGCCACATCTTTTTCTTGCCTACTCAGCTTTGCAGTCCCCTGCAGTGAAAATATTTTGCCAGCTTCCTTCAGAGTAATCAACTCTTTCTGCAGTTCTTTTCTGCAGACCTGTATTTGAACTCTGCTCCATAGGGTGATACCTCCTGTAATCTTTGATACATCACTGTCTGTGACTTTCTGAGATCCCCTAATGAGTTATTAAATGGAACAATTTTTGATAAAGATTTCTGCCTGACTGCAGTGATTGCCTTATCTTGCTGGTGTTATCAGGTCTGGTTTGCTTCCATCTGTGGCATTAATCAGAAGTCTGACTGCCTCTTTCAGTCTTTCATTTTCAATGGAGTATCTTCACTTTCCTACATTTCCTTGTCTTGCAAGTGGAGCATTTCTAATTAATTTCTGGCTTTTGACTGCTGTGAATTGCTGATTTCCGGTCTTTTCTTACTCAGAAGTCCGTCCTTTTCTTTGATTCACCTTTGAAACAGAAATCTATATATAAAGTTCCTGCCTCTTCACCATGCATGGCATATATTAGTTTGTGAAGTACTACAGAATTACTACGGACATGAAAAGACAGATGCATTTCACAGTTTCCCCTTCTAAGTATGATTGAAATGCTCTTTCTAATGCAAGGTACTTAATTACAGAAAAAACCACAAACCAAAGTAGGTGTCAAAATGTGCAGCTGTAGTGCTAGACTGAGCAAAACATATCGGTAGAGGACTTGGTTTTGGTGGATTAAAGTATTTGTAGGTGCGCCTCAGTTTGGTTTCTGACTTGGGTAGTCCCATGTACACAGCAGTCATAGGCATTGTATTTCTAGGATGTTGTGGGGTTTCAACATTATCTTATTTGTGATTACTTAATTTAATTTTGTTTTTCCCTTTCCTGAGAATAGTTTGTAAAATAAACTGATTTTTTTTTTTTGTCTCGTTCTTTGCTTGCCTTGTGATAATCATGTGAATACGAAGATGGATGTTGTTTGAAACTCCCGATTTCCAGAGAGTGATTTAGCTTGATTGTATCAGGAGATGTGTTGGCAATTGTGAGTGAAAGCCATGCTGCCAAATAATGGTCTTTTATTTCAGAGTCTGTGCCGTTTGCCATCACTGTGGTTCACTGTCTTGTAGTCTCTTAAGGTCAGTATACTTCGAGAGAAAGCTTGTGAGGCTTCAGGTTTCATTTATTTCTGCCTTCATAGAAACGGATACAGAAATGTTTGCAATACAGCAGGGATTTGAGAGGATGGAAAAAAACCTGTTTGCTTTTTCAGCCCTGCTTTCCTGAAATTTTGAACTGTGACCCTTGAACACAGGACTGACAATGGAGACCTAGAAATAAATCAAGACAACAGTTAGAACAGCAACAGCTGTAATTAAAAATATCTGTTGACAGACCTACATGGACTTTTTTAGCATTTTGTATGTTCCTTTTTTGTTGTTTTTTACCTTTGGGTGCGTGCATCGTTGATTCTTGCTGTGGTAGAACCAGCAACTCACTAATCTGTGAAATTCCCTGTTTTATGTTACTGCCTGGCCTACAGGGCAGGGCAGCAGAAAGTGCTGTAGCTGTGTAGAGAAGAGGCTCTGGTGTATTTATGCCAGTAGATGAGGTGGGAGCCTGGGAACCTGTTATGAGATGAACTGTGCCTTGCCAGAACAGTGGTGCAAACCTTTTATCTCATCTTCAGTTGTGTTGTGGTTGAATGATTCTGTTATGTCCTGCAGCAGCTCATCTCCATCAGTAATGGGCACATGGCTTTGCCGTAGTGTGAGTTTCTACCTGCCTAAAAATGATAACCAAGACCTTGATCTTCATTGTGCAGTACACTTGGGCGATAAAACTTAGAGAAAATACTGATACATAAAGATGAGAGAATTCAGGTTCTCTGAGTTATTTAACCCTTCTGAGAGGATTTCTGCTCTGTCAGAATGTTTAGAGAGTAGAGTTAGGGAGTCGCTGAGGGAATTGAAAACCTTTGGAACTGGTATTTGCTGATGCTTTACTCGGTTGGAAATACACTTTGGAAGGCAAAACAATTCTGCTATGGACAGACACAGGTACTCTTTGTCATATGATGGGTGTACTGTATTATTTAATCTACAAAAAAAATCAAGGAGACTGTGTGGAATGTCTCAGCTACATCCCTGTCACAAAGCCATGAAAAGGTAAGCAATTTCTATTAGTTTCTAGCATTTCTGGACTAGACCAAGTACATTTCATGTGAATCTATGTCTTCTGAAGACCTGAGTGCTTTCTACAGATGGAAGATCGAGGATACAGTCTTCTTCGGTAGAGGAAACAGCTGAAGTATCTTCTGGAAGAAAACATAAATGAGAAAACTGAGTTATGCCTCCTCAGGCATAAGAGAAGATGAAGTCCGGAGATCAGAAGTGGGGTAGACTTTATGCAGTGAAGATATTCCTAGGTATGTCTCCTGGTTAATATGGGCGTTCCATTATATGTACATTTTGGCAAGAGTGTTTCTCAATTAAAGTGCCTTAAGGAAGGAGAAGAGGAGGAGAGAAAGAGGAGACAAAAGGACCAACTATTACCGCTGCTGTGGAAGGCAGTGTTCCGAAGAGAAATCTCGGAGCGCGTCGGCCGAGCGGGCGGAGCCACGGCAGGGCCGTCCCCGCACGGAGCCGCAGCGGGAGGAGGGCAGCAGGCGGCGGCTCACGGAAGGAGCCGCTGTCGGACACCAGATGCCGCTGTTGGCCGCGAAGGCGCCGTGAGCCACGGAAGGGACGGCAGCTCCTCCCCGAGCCTCGGTCACGGTGCCGTCAGCCGGAGGAAGGATGCGGCGGACCGGCCCGGGCGGGGCGCCGGGAAAGCGGAGCAGCGTGCCGCTTGTCGCACGGAGACCCTAAAGCGGAGGACGAGGGAGTGGCGGGGAGCCTGTTAGAGCCAGGGAAGGCAGCCACAGCGGAGGCGATGCGGTGGGGGACAAGCGGCGGCGGCGGCGGCGGCGGCAGGGAGGATGGGCGAGCGCTGCTGTGCGGCGGTGCTGCGGGTGCTGGTGCTGCTGCAGGCGGCCTGGGCGCTGGCGGGCGGGCAGGTGCGCTACTCGGTGCCGGAGGAAGCCAAGGCCGGCACGGTGGTGGGCCGTCTGGCGCAGGACCTGGGCCTGGAGGCGGGCGAGGCGGAGGCGCGGCGGCTGCGGCTGGTGGCGCAGGGCCGGCGGGCGAGCGTGGAGGTGAGCGGGGCGAGCGGCGCGCTGCTGGTGAGCTCGCGGCTCGACCGGGAGGAGCTGTGCGGCAAGAGCGCGCCGTGCGCGCTGCGCCTGGAGGTGCTGCTGGAGCGGCCGCTGCGCGTCTTCCATGTGCAGCTGGAGGTCACCGACATCAACGACAATGCCCCCGTGTTCCGTGTGGACGAAGAAGCCTTTAACGTCGCGGAATTGTCTGTGCCGGGGTCTCGTTTCCCGCTGGAGGGCGCGTCGGATGCGGATATCGGAGCGAATGCGCAGCTCTCCTACACACTCAGCCCCAGCGAGTATTTCAGTCTTGATCATCAGGGGAATAATGACCAGAGTGCGTCTTTGGGTCTTATTTTAACGAAATCTCTGGACCGCGAGCCGATTCCCGTGCACCGATTGGTGCTGACGGCGACTGACGGGGGCCGGCCGTCTCTGACGGGCACCATGGAGCTGGTGATCTCGGTGCTGGATGCGAACGACAACGCGCCCCAGTTCAACCAGTCTGTGTATAGAGTTAAGATCCTAGAAGGTTCAGAGCTCGGGACTCTGTTAGTCACGCTTAGCGCCACGGATCCTGACGAAGGAATCAACAGTGATATTATGTATTTATTTAGTAGACGTGTTAGTACAAAAGTTAAAGAAATGTTCACTATCGACGAAAACAAAGGAGAAATAAGACTTCAAGGCAAATTAGACTATGAAGAAACCCATAGTTACGAGATCCCTGTTGAAGCAAGGGACAAAGGCTCCCCTCTGCAGCCTGTGCGTGGCGGACGGCGCCGCCAAGAGCGACCTCATGGTTTTCAGCCCCAACTTCCCTCCGCCGCCGCCAGGTTCTGCTGCAGAAAACAGTTCTGCTGGGACGGGGCCGTCTCTCTCCCCTCTTGCTTCAAGCGTGGTAAGAGTCTTCAAAAACTTACATTTTTCTTTCTCTCTTTTTGGTAGTATTTACTCAATACATGAATCCTCGATGTATTAAAACACCTTTTCTGTGATAAGAGTTTAGATCGATGTCCTTGCTTTGCAGTCTGTTGCATTCAGACTTGATCTGCCTTATTTTGAAATTTCATTTTCTGTATACATGATTGCTCCTCAAAATTTCCTTGTTTTCTTCTTTCACTTTAAAAATCTTATCTTGCACTGGACGATATTTTATTATTTGGGTTTGCAATTTTTGTTTTTTATTTCCTACTTGGCGTCAAATTGCAGTGCTAGTTGTTATGGGTTATTTTATTTTCTTGTTTTAAGCGTCTTTCAACCTGTGAGTTGTTCAGTATTGCGTGGTTTGATATCTCCCTCAAGGTGAATGTAATTTTTTCTTTGAACTAGGTGCGTTTATTATTTGATGACTGTTGTCAGTCAAGCGCCAAGACGCGCTCTGAGTTTTTAGATTTAGAAGCTTTCTTATTGTCGCGATTCTCCACTGTTGAGAAACTGAAATACATGAGATGATAATTCTGGGGCGAAAAGTGCAGATGAAATGTTGGAAGAAATGTTGGAAGTTGTGAGCGTTGTTCTCTCTCTGGAAGTCCGTCGAAAATATGTGCGTGTGTGAGGGTGGAGTGAAGGAAAATCCAGGATGCTTTGTGGGAAAACAGAGAACTGTTTGGGGGACGGGGTGGTAATTTACCATTTCCCTCCACCTGATCTCAGTCTTTGTAGTGATCGGGCTTCTCTTTTATCCCATCCGTTCAGAAATACGCTGTAGAAAACAAGAGTCCAAATTTGGTGGGAGAGGAAAGAGGCGGGAAATTGGTTAAGGGAAAATTATAATGGAAAACCTCTGTGTGTGGTGTTCAGTGGTCCAGTGATGGTAGGTTGAAAGCTTTTGGCTCTCTCAGCAGTAGAGCAGAAAATAGCAAGAGAACAGTTTTGGTACTATTTTCCTCAATGATTTCTTAACGCAGAGAGCGACTGTTTAATTACCGGGTTGTTTTCAACATCATTACTTTGCAGCTGATTCTTCCTTTCACTGATGGCACTGAATTGTCTCGGTTCTCATCTCGGCCAGCTTCAAGTCAATCTTTGAGATAAGACTTTAGGGTCATGATTAGCCTTTCTTGTTCAGTGTCAGAAAATTAAAGCAATTTTTAAAAGAAAAAGGGAAGATCTATTTAATTTAATTTTCTCTATAGCTTCAAATCGAAATGCGTAAAGCTGCCGGGGTAATAAAAACAAGCAGTACGTATATAATTTCGTGTTATGTATTCAATTCCTTTGGTTATCCCCCATATTTTTAAGACACAGTGATAGCTGTAAACGCGGTATTTTTAGTTTGACTAAGTTGGGTCAAGTTGTCCTTCCTCTAAAGATTTCCATTAGCTCAAAACCTTTTTAGCTAATGGAGGTCTTTAGAGGAAGGACACGGGCTGTAGAATTTAAATGACGGATGGATATTTCCAAAATTACGAGAATGGTGCTTATAGGGGTACAGGAAACAGCAACGAATTTTGAAAACTTCATGTCCTTTTTGAAAAGTATCATAGGAGTGGGTTATTACTCGTTGATCCGTAGAAAAACATTTCAGTGTGTCGCACGATTTTACCTTTTCTTCTCTTAGATCACTTAGTACCGGCTTTGAGTTCTTTGTGTATTTGCTGAGGATTGTTTATTTAGTCTCCTTTGATGGTGAACAGGAGTCGCGTGCTGAAGGAGAGTGAGTCATCACCACTTAATGGGTGAACTACTTAACTTGTGAGAAGCAAGGTTTGCCCCAGCTCTGTAGAATTGTCACTTATTTAATCACATAGGTGTGACGGAACTACGATTTTCTAAAAGAAAAACGTGTATTTTAAACTTATAAACACATTTAACTACCTCTGTTGAAGATGGAGAAACAGCATTTGCGCACAGGTGTGGGAAGCGACTCGTTTCTTTAGGTTATGATTAAGGGCGATGTGGGGTCTCAGTGCCGATCGCTTGGGGCAGGGCAGGATTTGGCTTCGGTTTCCCCTTCGTTTCTCTGACTGTACTAATGAGTTGAAGAATTTACCGGCGTTTGTTATAGACGTACACTGTCAAGAAACTATTTCAATATTTCTGTTAGAAACATAAAGCAATCTTAACTTTAGAAACAGCTCGTGGATGCTTTTACTTCGTGGAATAATCTGGGCAGGAGTGGTTAACAAAAGGCTCTAGAATATCCGTCAGCGCCCTGAATAAACTGTGCCAATTTCGCGCAGAGCTGCAAGCCCAGGCTGTTCTTATCGCAGCCCGTTGTTCTGGAGAGTGACGCTGTTAAGGCGGTGTTGTGAGGCTCAGCGCAATCCTGGCAGCCGAGGCGGGGCTGGCAGCCGGGAGCGCTGCCGAGCGCTTCTGCGGGCGGCTCCGGGGGCGGGAGAAGCGGAGGGGAAGAGCCAGCAGCGCCTGCTCCGCCGTGGTGGCCGGAGGATGTTTTGCAGCTTCCAAACGAGATTTTACAGGCAGGGAAATGCTCATCACGGCTGCCTCGGAGTTGTCAGAGACTCCGAGTGCTCGGGTCGGAGCCGCTCCTGCCGCCCGAGCGGGACTGAGCCCCCGTGCCCGCTGTCGCTGGTGTCCTCCCCGCCAGCTTCCGTCAAGTCCGGTGGTCTCTGACTGGGGGTGAACACATCGATCTGTGTCCTCGTGTTAAAGAGACGAGATCGTGCCTGCGATGTACTGAATGGCATGCAGTGGGTGCCTGTTTCTGTGCCTCGATGGGTGTAGTGAGGATTTTCGTGGGAATCTAGAAATTCTCTGCATATGAGATTGTTATTCCGGGCTGCTGATAGCTAAAAGTCATCTCTGCTCCGAGTCCCCAGGGAGCAGCTGCGAGCTTTTTGAAGGGCATCCTGACAGCACTGCTCGCTCTGCCAGCAGGCACAGCCCGCCTTGGCAAAGCAGAGGGGTTCGGAGCCGATCAGCCCGGCGATGCTGCCAAAGTTCTTTCCGTCCCATCCACCGGGAGAAGCGCGGGGCTGAGAGCGAGCCTGGGCTGGGGGGCTCCCGCAGGGCTCAGTGCTGCTGCCTGCCACACCTCCCGAGCGGGGGGAGCCCGGTGTTTGGGGTCTCCGGGGCACCGCCGTCCTTCCTCTCGAGTGAAAGGCGTAGCGGGGTCCTTGCACCTCTGTCCGCAGCTCCGCGCTGGCGATCTGGGCTCGGTCCGAGGTCCGGTCGTCCTTGGTTCGCAGGCAGACCCGATGTACTGCCGGGTTCCCATTGTTGTGGGAGCTTTTCATGTGCTCCTTTCGGGCGGCGGTGAGGGCTGGAGCTGCCCTCCGGGGGCAGCTGCTGTGGCGCAGAGCTCATCGGTTTCCGTGGGATGAGAAACAGCAGAGCTGTTGTTCCGTCCGTTCTCCTTCACAGATTCCCCTGCTGTCTCCCGCTGAAGTTCAGTGTCCTAATTTAGCATCAATGGACGCCCCTGGGTTCTGGTGAGAGCCCCTGGGATTGTCCAAAGCCCCAGCACCGCGCAGGACGTGTCCTGTAAACCTCCATCGAAGGCACCACCTCTGATGCACTGCCCGCGGAATGGCGCTTTTAAATCATCGCTGACATAATGATGATGTTCAAACACCAGTGTCCCTTCGTGTGGTGCTCCACAGCCGCCACACAAATCGGTTTCGCTCTTCGCCTTTCGTTTTTGCCTTTGCTGGTGTAACAGTTTCTTCTGGCAGCCGCCGTTGCTCTGAGCACAACGTGCGTGGCTGGACTAGCGACGTCCAACCGCAGGAAAAGGGGAGGATTCGCTGAAAATGTAAGGCAGGCAGGGAGAATGAGTACCCTCCGAGGCGGTGTAAGGGCAGAGGAGGGTGGAGGAAGAGCTCGCTGAACATGTCAGGAAATGAGACATGATTAGGGGTCGTGTAGAAATGAATGGTACCTCAGAAGGATCGCAGAGATTAATTCCTCCATCATTTGGGACAAACGGGCTCTAAGAATGGGTCCAGCGGAGAGAAGGGAATAGGGAATGGTTTGAATATGGCAAGCGGAAGGCAAACGTAAGATGAGGGGGTTTAAACAGAGGTTAGATTGTCTGCTGTGATACCAAGGGAAGTGTCTGTCTTAAAGGTGTTCAGTACAACTTAATTCTTTAATACAGCATTGTAATGTAATTAGGGTCAGTGAATTGAAATGGAGAGGAGAACTTTGAGGTTGGAGACCCTGAAAAGAAGGTGGAAGGGTGGCCCAAAAAGTGAGTAGGGACCCTGTGTATAAAGGCACACTTGAGACTGCCTTGAGCTGGGTGCGGAAGGGAAAGCACAAACAGGCAGGGAGGAACATGCCTGGGACTCAGGCAAGCAGAGCAGTGGCTTCACGCAACGGGCAAGGCTGGATTCTGCCCCCGTGGCACCACTCTGTTATTCCCTTAATGGCAGCAGTGTTTGTGTTGTAACTGGCCCTTGATATTTAATATTACTGAGCGCTGGATCTTAGCTGTGACCCAGAGCTGTTTACCTGAGCAGTGTGAGGATCAGACACTTGTGTGCTGGACTGGGAAGGCAGCGTGGTAGGATCTGGGTGCTGACATGGTGCTGGCTACATGCATATTCTGGTGATCAAAGCTGCCTGACACAGCACTGTCCACAGTGGAAAATGACAAGAGTTGTGACAAGCTATGCCAAAACACAAAAGCAGGGTGGTGAGGTTTAAAAATAATATTAAAAACAAGTGAAGACAAATTCACTTAGAGTCCTATAAACAAGCACTGGGCAATGCTGCAAAATTAGAGATATAGCAGAAAGATGAAGGACTTATTTCATGGTAAATGAGTAGTAAATTAATGGAATAAAGAATAAATATTATTGTAGGCTGCTGATACTTCTCAAAAGTTGAATACATCTGAGAGGCAAATGTGCGATTACTTTGATTTTGGCCATTCACTAATCAGTTTCTGCTAGCACTGCTAGTATTTCAGACACCACAATTAATAACTAGAGCTTGTCATTCCAATATTATATTTGAGGAAAATCTGCCTTTGAGGGGGTTTCTCTGCACAACAAGAGGACGTTGAGCCCAAAATTCTCGGGTTTCTTCATTGTAAACTGGAGTCACAGATGGCCAGGTAGAAGCTGTGTGTTTTACCTGTGTGTACACCTGGGGGATCAACATGTGGCTTTTCAGCTCTTCTTGGACAGATGGATTTATCCTTGCTGCAGGTTAATGTTAAGGACATACATCAGTCTTTCCTGTGACTTTAATAGATTCTATTGCATTGGTTCAGGGGTTTAGAACGACTGTGCATCACGACAGAGCAGAAAACCCAACAGCTTCTCAGGTATTGTAGATGACATCGTTGCAGAAGAGGAATCTAGGGCAGATTGGGAGTAGGTGGAGTCTGAATGACAATTCTGTAGTAATTGGATAGGAACTGGGTATTTCTGCACTTAACAATCAAGAAAAGAAAAAGGAATAAGCAGCAAACCATGAGTACTTGCATTGTTATGGTGTGCAATGGGTTATTGACAGATTTATGTCCTCTGTGATTGAAGTGGATGCACAGCAGCAGCTCTGTAGCTTTCTCTCTGATTTCTGCTGCCACCCCTGCTACCCCTCAGCTGTAAGAGATTCTGTAGCATCAACGAGCAGAAGTAAAATGCAATATTCAGGTACTGCCAGGACCTCCTGGAGTTAAAAAAAAAAAATCACATTTGCAGACAGTTGTGCTGGAGCAGACCAGCAAGATCTGTTCAAGTGTGCCAGGATGAGAACCTCACTGTGAGGTTTTGCTGAGTTGTGAAGATGCAAACAGATGTATTGATTTTTTTTTTCAATTTAATGTACAACTTTTGGCTGTGCTCCAGATTTTCTCCCTCTTAAAAAGGCCCTATGTATTCTATATATAATTGAAATGTTCTGTTTCACTTGCCTGGAAATTCTCAGCTGCAGAAAGAAGCACAATGAATATGAGGAGGGTTAAGATCTATCCTTGTTACACTTTTATAGCCTATTGCTTTTGATCGATCAGGATCTCATCACAACAAGCTCTCACAGAAGGGAAGTGGAAACAGAGGAGATGGAGGTGCTGCCAGGGCCCATCTGTATAAACTGCTGCTAAGGATCATTCCGGGAAGGTTTTCCAGGAGGATATTTTCAAATGCTTTTCTGCCCTCTTGTACCTGCTTTGGGGTGTATTTGGTAACTGCTCCCTCTGTGAGGAAAGCTGGGGGAGAGAGCTTTGATGTATTTTTTTTTCACTCATGATTTGCAGTCTCTGTGTGGTATCAGCTCATCTCTCCCCACAATCTCTGGGCATGTCCTAAATGCAAAACCTCTTTTGTGCTGATATTTATTTCTGTGCGAGTACTTTAACTTCTGCAGTCTCCTATTTCCCCCTGCCTCCCAAGCCACCCCCATCGTGCTTTGGGAGGCTGGATGGGAGCTCATCTGTGGCTGGGGGTGATCGGACTGTCAGAGCAGAGACCCTTCTCTCCAATAATTCGTGTTAATTTCTCCTGTTCAGAAGGTGAAGCAGGAAAGAGCATCTATTTTCATGTTCTCCTTTCACCCCCGCTTTTTAAAATTTTTTTATTTTTTTGGTAAAGTTAGAGGTAGAGTCGACTGCCTCCTCTAATTGTGCTCTTAAACCCCCTCTGGGAAATGTTGTGCTCAGCCGGAGCGTGTCTGGGCTGTGCTGACCCATGTTTAGCCGATGCCTGTCACTTCTCATCCACCTTTCTCTTCCACCGCTGTTCTCTGACAGCGCATCCTCTCGCTGCCTCTCCCGCAAGGAGCGGAGGGAGGAGGGGGCTCTGCTCTGCCTCTCTTTTTCACGGAAACACATCCATGACGCGCACTCGGCTGCGCGCAGCCCCCCGCTCCATCCCCGTCGGGGCGTTAAGGAAAGAGGGGGAGAGGAGGAGGGGAGGAGAAGCGGCCGCCGGCCGGCGGGACAGCGGCGGCGGGGGGAGCGCAGCCCCCTCCCCGGTGGCGCGGGTGTCGCCGCGGCCTCTGGGTGGCGCCGCCGCCGCTGCCCGTCTAATGGCGGGCGCAGCGCTGCGGAGCTGCCGCCGAGCCCCGCACGGCAGCCGGCGGCGCGGCCCGGGGGAGCGGAGCCGCCGCGGAGCCTCCCGCGCCTGCACCGAACTTGCCGCCGGTGCGCCCCGGTGCCCGATCGCTTCGCGGCGGGAACTTGGGGTGTCTGCTGAAATTCTGGATTATGTTCCTGCTGAGCCGGTCTGCGGGGAGCTGAGCCAGGGGAGGAAGCATGCGGGGCTATTTAATGGTTTTCTGCCTTATTTGCTGCACCGCGGAGGGGCAAATAGTGTATTCCATCGCCGAGGAAACAGAGCCTGGAGCGTCTGTTGGGAACATAGCAAAGGATTTAGGAATAAATGCAGCTACACTTTCAGCTCGGAAATTTCGCATGATCACCGGTTCAAGTAAGCAATATTTCAATATAAATGCCAGCACAGGGGCTTTGTCTGTTAACGAGCCCATAGACAGAGAACAGCTTTGTGAGTTAAAGTCTGTCTGTCTTCTGAATTATGAGCTCGTGTTAGAAAATCCTCTAGAGCTTTACAGGATGGAATTCAAAGTCTTGGACATAAATGACAACTCCCCCAGCTTTCCCTTAAGTGAATATCATATAAACATGCCGGAGTTCCTGTCACCCGGGGCACGGTTTACACTCCCCAATGCCCAAGATCTGGATGAAGGTGCTAACAGTGTCCAGAATTATACTCTGAGCCCTGATGAACATTTCTATTTGGAAATGCAAATACGCGGGGATGGGAGTAAATATCCTGAATTGGTGCTGAAGAAAGCCTTAGACAGGGAGCAGCAAGCCACTCACAGACTTGTGCTTACAGCCAAAGATGGTGGGAACCCTCCAAAGTCTGGTGATGTCCCGGTCATTGTGACTGTGCTGGATACCAATGACAATGCACCAGAATTTGAGCACTCGGTCTACAGGGCGAGTATCTTGGAGAATTCCCCCAGTGGCACTTTGGTAGTCCAAGTGCACGCCACAGACTTGGATGAAGGTCCAAATGGAGAGATCAGGTATTCCTTTAGCAATACAACTTCTGCTGACTTACAGCGAATGTTCTCAATTCACCCACACACTGGGGAGGTGACAGTCAATGGCGTTTTAGCTGTTCAGAGACCCCTTCTCGAGATGCTGATTGAGGCAAGGGATAATGGGGCATTTGGCATGTCCAGCACAGCTAAACTGCTGGTGGAGATCACAGATGTGAACAATCATGGCCCAGAGATTACAATTACATCCCTTTCCAGTCCCATTCCTGAGGATGCTGTTCCTGGCACAGTGATAGCTCTGCTGAGTATTTTGGATAAGGACCCTGGGGAGAATGGGAAAGTAGCCTGTCAGATCTCTGAAAACCTTCCCTTCCAGTTAAAGCCTTCCCTTCAAAACTACTACAGCCTTGTCACCAGTGAGCTTCTGGACAGAGAGCTGATCAGTGAGTACAACATCACCATTACTGCCACGGACTTGGGTTCTCCCCCTCTCACCACTCAGAAGACTGTTTGGGTGCAGATTTCTGACGTGAATGACAACCCCCCTGTCTTTGGTGCTGATGCATTCGATGTGTTTGTGGAGGAGAACAATCCACTTGGTGCTTTTCTCTACCAGGTTTCGGCATCTGACCCTGATATAGGGGAGAATGGACGGATCTCTTACATGCTCAGGAATTCCACAGTTGCAGGCAGTGCTCTGACCAGCTTTTTGTCTATGAACTTGGCCAATGGGAGCATCTATGCAAAACGTGCCTTTGATTTTGAGCAGCTTAGGAGCTTCCATTTCCAAGTGGAAGCCAAGGACAATGGGTCACCAGCCTTGAGTGCTGCCATAACAGTGAATGTTTACATCTCAGACCAGAATGACAATGCCCCAGCCATCCTGTACCCCACCAGCCAGAATGGCTCCGTAGCTGTGGAAGTTGTGCCCCGCCTGGCTGATGAGGACTACCTGGTGACCAAAGTGGTGGCAGATGACGAGGACAATGCACAGAACGCCTGGCTTTCCTATCACCTCGTCCATTCCTCCGATTCCACCCTGTTCCAGCTGTCACCGCACACCGGCGAGCTGCGCACCACGCGCTCCATGCGCTCCACCGACTTCCTCAAGCACAAGGTGGTGGTGGTGGTGCGGGACCACGGGGATCCACCGCTGTCCTCCACCGTGACCGTGGGCATCCTGCTGGCTGACACCCTGCCCCAGGCACTGCCAGACTTCGATGACAGCGGGGAGCCACCACCCCTGCTCAACGCCACGAACATCTACTTGATCGTTTCCCTTGCCTGTGTCTCGTTCATCTTCGCGGCGTTCATCTTCTTCCTCGCCATCATCCGGCTCTGCCGGTGCCGAACTTGCTGCTGCAGTGGCTGCTGCTGCCCACCTGAGGACTATAAAAATTACTGCTACAGTGTGCACATGCTTCCCAGCTCCCACCTCCCACCGGACATGCTGGAGGTCACTGGTGTGGGTAAACTCACTCACACCTACTTGTACAGGGCATCTGTAGGTCTTGGGCCTGGTAACAGCAGCATCCCAAATGGAGATGCTGGGAATGTTCCTAGTGGCTCAAGGTTACAAGTGCCAGGACCCTGCATCCAAGTGCAGCAGGTCCAGAGTGACCGGTTGAGTGCTGTCCTCGTGGTAAGTTCTTCTTCCTTTCACTTGAAGTGCTTCTTCCTTTCACTTGTTTTCTTGGCCTCGTGCCTGCACTAGGCTGCTCAGCGCAGAACATACTGCGGGCATTTGCAGGAAAACAGCCATCAATTCATGGCACCTGAAGGAAATTTCAGTTTATTTTATATATTTCCTAAAGCAAAGAATCTCTTTGGCTGAAATGTTGTCATGGGATGACAAAAGAGATTTTGTCATGGACAAAAGAGATTTTTTTTTTTCTGCTGTAAACATTAAGGACCTTCAGACACAACTGAAGGTAATGGTGTAAGTGAAAAAAATATACCTTGCAAGCCAAGCCATTGTCTTCAGAGAGCTAAGTAGGGGCAAGATACAAGTCCATGCCAAGTTTCTAAGCAATGGGTGGTTCTAAGATACACTGTGTAGAGTCTGTGATTTAATTTTTTAAATTTTTTTTACCCGTGCCCTGATATTCCTGAGATTTTTTTTTATTGAAGGGGAGTAGTTTGTTGAGCCAAGATGCTGGTTTGCAATTCCTAGGGTGGATTAGCTGTAATTCCATATCCAGCACCTCTTTAGGAAATGTATGTGACTTGGAGTGCTCATCTCACTTTCCAAGCAACCCATAGGTTTTGTGAATCTAAAACAATTCTCTTCCAGGCCTCTGACCAAGCTGACTTCTTCTCAGTAGTGTGATGAGTGACTTTGCAGGAGAAAATATCCTCCTGTGATCACAGTGTAGGGCTACACAGTAGGCTATGTCTGCAGGCCTAATCTGCTGGGTGTTGCTGCATTACTTGTCCAAGAATCAGTTGTCTTATATCTATTTTTAATAGGTCCTGTGAGTTGTCTTTATATTTTTATGAAGTTTTGAGATGTTCTGCCTGCAGACTGTCAAATTCCTTGGTGTGCATACCAGTAACTAACCACTGTTGGGTCTGTGCAGGCCAGTACTCTGTGTCTGGTAGGAGCTGCTCCAGATGTTTCCAAGGGAAATATAAGAGCTCAGGTTAGACAGACATGGTGTAATTTGCTTTCTGCTGTTCTAAATCTGTAGCCATTATGTTTATTTTCACCTTTGAAATCTTTATTGTACAGTTAAATACATATAAATGCTCAGCTCCTTTTTGAGCCTTGATGTAAGGGTAACTTCAATAACTTCTTTGAACAATCAAATATACATTCAACTATATAACATTTTGGTTTATAACTCTTGAATTCCCAAGCAGTGAATTTTTGTAAGCTTTCCCTCCTAGATAAATTCCAAATTTGCTCTTCACTCTGCAATTAGTTCATCATGCCTTCCCTTATTTATGTGCTGACCAGATTCGATTTACACATGATGGTTTTCCTAGTGTTTAATCAGTCATAATTAGTTTTAAATTCTGTTCTCTGCAGCAGTAGAGGGTTGCAGATGTTGTGGGTTTCTCACTGTTCAAAGAGGGGTGTGTGGAATACCTAGGTCTTGCAAAAGAAGAGTTGATGTCCTTCCTGAAGAAACTGTAGAGCCTAGGAAAATAGCAGATGGCAGTATGTAAATAACCTGTACCTAATGCATTGGATACTTTGGGAATATCACTGATTATTTGAGGATCTGCAAAACAAAAAAATAATTGAGTTAGAACCTTTGTAATGGTGAGGTGAAAAGTGTTTTGGCAATATCTTGACTCAGAAGGTGTCTGCAAGAGCCCTGACAGTGTCAGGGGGGTGTAACTTTGGCTGTAGAGTACTTCATAACTGCAAAACTTATAATAGTGATGACATATATATAACAACAACAACAATAAAAACCCAAACAAAACCCCTCAAAAAACTGTTACAACTCATTTCTTTGCTCCAGTTGAGCAAGATCTGGAAACTCAGGTTACCAACACGTTAAAGAACCAAATAATAATAAAAATGTCCAGGTATCCCTAGTCTCCATAATCAGAACAACTGTAATGTGTCTCATTGTATCTTGCTGTATTTCAGTCATTCAGGTTAATTTTTAAACTTGTAATATGAGACACCTTTTTGCAGCTTTTGATAGTGGGCAAAATAAATCCCAGATGTCATCTTTGGCAATTTTATTTCTTTGGCTTCTAATACTCAGAGGTGGGCAACCATAGATCTGGCTTATGTGGAAAGCCCAAAGGCTTTACATTAATTGAGCAGAGTAGGGGAGAAGAGGCAAAGACTGTAAAAATCCTTCTACCCTTGAAACCAAAATAATGCTGGGTATAATTAATTTGGTGCTGATCATTCCATACGTACATATATGTATGTGTACATACACATACATATATATATATATACACATATATATTTATGTATGTATGTATTGACCATTAGAAATTTCAGCTAAAATATTTAAAATTTAATTTTGGATGTTGACTAAATGCAGTCTGTAAGTGCTTTCAGACTGATTAATTTGGAATTAAAAATATAAACCTACATGACCCTTTTGAGGAGAGGTGATTGTATTGCTCCCTAAGAAATAGATGTAACAGAAGGCAACAAGTATTTAAAAGGCATTAGGAGCAACTTCATAGTTATCATTCAAAGCACTGAAAGTACTTAAAAATTACAATTTTAGCAGAACTTAAATAGACCTGATTTTATTTTGTTGGTTTTTTTAATTGAGAAGGTGATTACAATTTCCAGTACATGTAGGATAGAAAAAGGGCTGCATCTATGAAAATTCAATTGAGTTTCCAGAAATAAGGTGTATTTCCAAAATTTAGGTTGATTTCTTTATTCCTGTTCTGCTTTTGTTACTGAATTAAACAATAGGCTGGAATGTTTTTACACATGCAGACACATGAGACCCATTTGTGCTTTTATGTTTTTTATTTGGGTTAGAGCTATGAATAGCTCTGTGTATGGCCGTAAGAGCAGTAGAGTAAACTGTAATTGTGTCTTTTCCAGTATTTTGTTGTGTCTTTCTGCAGCATGGCATAAATGGCAGCTAAGTGAAGAGCTGGGTAAGCTGCTGTGCTGTACAGAGACAAAGGCACGAGGGATTGCTAAAGTAAGCAGTGGTTCCCTGACTGATTTCTGGGATTGTCATGTAGCCATGGATTGCTCCAGTTCTTTTGTTTGCTTGTGGTGGCCATTGTGCTGCACAAAAGGCCTGTGAGATATTTCTACATTCAGAGCATAGTGACCTCTCTGTGACTTGGCATTCGATATTTAGGTTACACCCAAAAATAGATGCAAACCTTGCAATGGAGAATTTTTCTCGCTCAGCTGTAATGGGAGTGGAATAATTTTGCACAACATGGCATGCATTTCCTGTGACAAAAATGGATCCACTTCCACTGAGACAGGCTGGCAATTGAGGCTGAACTGCTGCAGGCTAAGCATCAGTGGCTTCCTCACACAAGTGAAGAGCAGATGTGTGTCAAGCCCTCCCTGTGGCTCGTTCTGATGGGAACAACACAGCAAGTGTAAGAGCAAAGCACCTTCCCAATTCCTCCTGTCAGTGCTAATAACAACCTGTCCAGAACCAGCAGTCTCATGTCCACATTAAAATAATTCAGTTTTTAGGAAGATTTCTTGGCTATGAGAGTTACTCTTGGGGTCAGGCCTGGAAAATCCTAGAAGGAGCAGTGATCAAAGAAAATTCACCAAGGGAAAGTGCCTCCTTCTGACCCTGACTTTTGACTTTTCTTGTCTGATGCCTGCCTTGGAGTGTTATTTTTAGAGGTAAGGGAAGGGAGAGTGACAGGAGTTGGTTGAGACAAAGTGCTTGAGGGGATATGGAGAGTAATATGATTGTATTTGGACATGGATAAGGGGAAGGGAAGGATGGGGTTGAATGGTGACATGGGCTGAGGAAGGATAATCCTTTTATGAAACCATAACTCAAGAAAACATAATTTAGATCAAGTCCAGTCCTTTCCTGTATCAGTCACAATTTAATCTTAAATATTTAAATTCAAATATTTACATTTTAATTGTAAAAATAATAATTTTAATTACAAAATTCACTAGATTGTGCCCATTATTCCTATTGGAAAGTAATTCCTCTAAGGCTTTTGAAATGCTCTTCTGACATCCTGCCAATTGTTCTTTGCTATGAGCTTGTAGACTTTTGATTTTGTGCCAGCAATTCCCTTTTAGTGTGAGTAGTTCTTTCCCTCTTTGCATCTTGCTTTATCCATGGTTTAGAAAGCAACCACATCCTTTCTGAGCCTGCATTTTACCAAGCTAAACAAGTTGATTTCTTTCAGTCTTTTTTCTTATGGTCACCTCTGCACTTACCTGGTTATGCTGATATCCCTTCTCAGCATCAGTTTTTCATTTTTGGATATATATTTCTTGTTTTTCTTGCAAATATGTGACCAGACTTACATATGTTTCAGAGAAAGGACTTCTTATGTAGATAGGAATGCTTCCTTACCCAGGCCATAGGGAATATGTCACCTGATTCCTCTCGGGAGGCCAATTACCTCCTCCACAGTTTTAATAACTTGATTAATCAGTCACACTGCAAGCTATTATTGCAGAACTTCTTTGGGGGTAGAGGTGCATGGGTAGAGGTTAATTCCCAAGATGGTTCTTCTGCCTACATTCATCCATCTAAATGCTGGATGTTTGAGCCTTAGATGTGAAGAAGTTTCAGTCACGTGCTCAGAACAAACCATCCTGTTCATCTTTGTTGTGTGAGTTTAGACAAAGCCTACAAGACAGCACTGAGAGTAAATGCATGACTTTTATCTTGACAGATATCCAGATTTTGGAGTGAATGATTCCATATGATTGTCCTCTGGAACTGTTGTTAGAATAGCCAAACTTCTTGTGTCTCAAACTTTTAGTGCTGCACTGTATTCAATGTTTTACTAAAATCAGAATAGATTAGATGAATTTCACTTTGTTTCTATTGAAGATAATTGAAAACCAGTCTAGCAAATGGATAAATCTATGACTATTTTCCTTCCTTTTCAGTGTACCTTCATTCCTCTTTTAGTCTTTCCTCCAAATTTGTGTCCAAACAAGCAGGGTAATGGGCTTGTGGTCACACAGGC